GAACTGATTACAAAGAAAATCTGTATCCTTATAACCTCAYTTCAATTCCTTTTCTAATCAAACAGTGATGGTTGACAGCTGATATTGCACCATCCCTTCATCCYCCTAATTCAGACCCTTTGAAGGGTCTAAGAAAGCCATACGGTGGGAGGAAAGGAGACATGACTACTGCACCGACCAGTAACACAACAGTGATTCCTATAAAACATAAGGATGATATATGGTGCCCTACATATCACTTTGAATTTCAGAAAAATAGCATTTTCTTTAACTTTAAAGTACAATCATTTTTTACATGAAGTACTCAAATTTTTATACCTGAACAATTGATTTCTGAAAAAATGACATTCATTCTATAAATTAAAGTATCAAGAAAATTCCCACAGATTCACAGAACCAATCATGTGATCTTCAAAAACTGCTACTCCATTCTTCCTTATCTCAAGTTATGAAGACTTGCCCACAGGAAGTTTCTTTGTGGAACCCTGCTCCTCTTGGGATGAAGTGTTTAAGGATACTGTGGTCTTGTCAGATGCCAGATCCATCTGGTCCTGAAGCAGGAAAAACTCTCTGAAGGTTAAGGTGAACTAGTAACACTACTGACAGTCACCGTGGAGTTGACTTTGAACATGGATATTTATACATGTACATGTAAATATACTTAAAACCATACTGTCATTCAACAGTTGGGCCAATATATAACATGTTGCAAAAATCAGGATAGAGTACATGGCAAAAAAACCTTTACAGTATGAAAGGATGAAGAATTTGATGATTCTGGACTTTACTGTAGTCTGGGAACCTATATATTTAAAACAAAACCAAAGAAAACAAAACAAAATAAGAAAGCATTCTGTAAACTTCCTGTGATTTAGGCACAAAAGCAGTTTCATTGCCTTTATTAAATGCTAAGACCACTTTTATTAAGGATTGTTGCAGAAGGGTATTTGTTGAAATACATCAAGAAATGTATAAATTTACATGGATTATATGGATGTTTACTTGCTATGCCTAATGACAAGAAGTCATTTCCTATATGCCTCTATAATATTTACTCACTAGAAAATTTTGTTAGGAATGGAAACTTATTAGTTAAAAAGTTTTCAATATTGTAAATAATTGAGAATAACTGTGCTATAAGATGAATCTTTGCAAAAATATTTTCATTACACAGAATCAAATACACATTTAAAATTGTTATAATGAGAATTAGACAATCCATGGATGAATTCAGTACACTAATGGAAGGTTCACATATGACCTTGCTGACCCAGAACAGTCACAAATTCTTCTGAGTAAACCCTGGATTTTTAAATACTACATAATTTAAGTCAGTTGTTACCAAGACAAATATAAATAGCAAAATATAATAATGATAAATCTTCAGAAAGGCTACAACATGGCCCACAGCTTAAGTCAGAGTTTGACACCTGGAACAAAGAGCCCTCAGACAGCTTTGCAAGGACTACATTTAAAGAACAATTATTTTCACATAATTCCTCAGTGCTGCCTCTATCATAGACTGAATTGGATCCATATATCTCTACGTTCCAATAAAATATTAGAAGGGAACTTTCCAGTTACCTCACTTAATTATGCAATTCAAAGTAAGTTCTTGAAATTACTTTCCTATCCAATCTTTATTGTTATAATCTTGCTTTGAACATTTAAATTAAATAATCGTTTCCTTTCATAGTCACTACTGGATAACATTTCGAACACTGATTTAAGCAGCATGTTGACCTAATTTAGCATTGCATATTATCAAATGTCATGTTTTCAAATAAATAAATATATGTAGTATAATATAGTGAGAGAGAGAGACAGTACTTTTCTTCAGATCTGTCATCTGATTCTTAGGGGACACTCTTATAGATAAAACTTCCAGTTTTATAGATCAAAAATGGCCAGATATTGGGAATTGTCTTTGGAAAATTTTTCAGGGGGTGGAGGGATTTTATTGTGTAATTATAAGAAAAGCCACAGGGGATGCTTTGGTCTGGAAGAATCATGCCTATTCCTAACCTACAGGAGAGAATGACACACATCCACTATTTAGGTAACAATACAATTATTAACATGAAATACAATTCTATGAAAAGCTTTTATGATACTCTAAATCACCTTATACAGGATATCAGAACCAATAAATATGAATCTTATGCAGACAAAAGGCAGCCAGTGAAACAAAATCTTTTATCAGTATTTGGTCAAGTGGTTAGTTTTGTGGTAAATTAAGTAAGTTCTACAGAGAGCATACAAACCAAGTTTTCTAGGGTAGTTCATCGAAGAATGAAGTTTTCAACTAGAATCAAATTTGATTTGATGGGAAGGTCAATCTAAGCTTTTAAGCAAGAACATGGAAAAACAATTAGTTATTTACAATTAGAAAACAAATATTAGTTTTTCAGTAATGGATTAAGATAAAACATAACTGAAACACACAAAAAACAAAATAGCTCCAACACTTAAAATTACAACTCTCCCTGTAAAAACTCCTAACACAAAAATCATAAACAAAACTGCAGAATATAAGAGGTACCAATTACATATAAATTCAACAAATCCTTATTTGTCTCAACTTTAATGAGTTATAGGTCTTGCTATCTTTGGTTATTATGCCTGATTATTGTTTTCATTATACATTTTACAATAAACAAAATGAGCTCTTGCAGCTCATAGAATTTCACTGTTATCACCAGTTCAATTCTTAGATGTCTCTAATTATGGAAGTGAGGATCAGACTGAACTAAAACCTATAAGTCATTTTCAGACGTGGATGAACAAAGGACAGATGTTATATAACCAATTATCAGAATTAGTAGAGGCAGAAAACACCTCCCTTCTGCACTCTAACCATACACGAATTTAAGTGCTATTATATAAGCAGGCACTACATCTTGGATATTAGGTGAGGAAGACCTTTCCCAGGCCATTCCCAATTTTCTGTCTCAACTCTTCAAGGAAGTAAGAAATATATCATGTGCTAGAAGACAGGCATAAAAATATTCTCGCCTAAAAGGAACAATTACTGGCTTCTTTATCTCTGGAATGTTTTAATGACAATAACCATCAACCCAAACTTTTTGGCTTTCAGTAATCTTCCTAAATTAGGAATAAACAAGTCTAGTTCACGTTTTGACTATCAGATTTATCGTTTTGGCAAATTTACCCACTTGAAAAAAAAAATCCTCTTAAGACCTTCCAATAATTACTTTCAAAATTTCCAGGTTTCTCAGTTAAACAAAAATGCTGCTTAGGATATTAAACAATCATAAATACACACGCATTATGCAATTGCCTGTTTATTTAGTGGCACCAGTTTTGCAAACTAGAAATTATTTCTACTTTTCATCTCACATACAATCTGCAACCATTCATAGGCTGAATGCAATTTCTTCAAAGGACTTGAAAACAAAAGTACATTCTTAAAGTTAAAACTGAATTCACATATTTCTTTGGATCAGAAAATGATACATCATACAATATACACATTTATGGAATTTTTTCTTTGAAAGTTTGGATCATATAACCTGCAAAGTGGATGAGTTAATGTGGAGAATTTTGCTACACATTGTGTTTAAGAAAATTTCTGCAGTTAGTTGTCATAGTCTTATATTTAGAGATTTTAAACAATTAATCTATATATAATGCAACATGCTTTTAACATGTACATGTCTTCCGCCTCAAAACAATTATACAATGAAGTGAAATTATTTCAGTTGTGAAACAGATCATAACTGGGGTATTGTCACTAAAAGATGATATTTTCCTACAGATACGTTGTGTTCAGTGAGCCAATGACCAACTAGGTAAGATAATAGTTACTACATTTCAGAAGTCCCCAAAATGCTAGGGCTACAGCTCAGTGGTAGACCACTTGCCTGTCATATACAAGGCCCTGGGTTTGATCCCCAGCCCTGTCAAAGGGGGAGGGGAAATTCCAAAAAAGGACAATAAAAACTGTAACTGAACATTCAATTTTTCAACAAGTGTCAACAATTTCAAAAAATTTTTTATTGTAATTATTTTTAAAAAAAATCTTATTAATGCTATACATTGGTGGCTATTCATGTTAGATCCTGTTTTTACATTTTGTATTAAGTCCTTAATTCCTTAGAATCTGAAATGAATTTAACGTTTAATGAACTCTAATGCAAGAAAAATCAAATCTTAAAACCTGAGTAAGATATGACAGCTATTGTGTTGTTAATATATTACAGCTGCACTGGGGAGGTTCAGAAAACTTTAGATACACTCAATTTCTATTTTACCTTTCTGTTGAATTTCAAAAGTGGCAAATCTTAGAGATATTACCCTCAAAAGTAATCCAAATGTGATTTTTTCATCTCTATAAACTCTTTTCGCTGAAAGTCTTTCAATATCAGATTCAAACCATGCCCCATCCACCTATTTGCTATTTTCAAAAGTAAAACAATTCCTTAAAATAGACTCAAGTTATATTTACATCCTTGGAATATTTTTATGGACTATGCAGGAGAAAAAATGATGTCCTATTATTCTGTAATTTGGAATCTTAATTGGGGTTGAGGGGTAATGAACCACTGCAACATTACAATTTTTAGGGAGTTTCCCCATGATTCATCTGTCTCAAAGGGACAACAACTCCCAAAAAGTTAAGAACCATTACTAAAATGAATTTCTGTCACTCATTGTACCGAGTTAGGACAGTACTAATTCTGTAACTACTCAATCTTACACATAATCTAGCTTACTTCAGAAAGTACCATACAAATGCAAATATCCCTAAACACTTTTTTACTAGGACTATGTAAAAGGAAAAGAAAAATTTTCTAAACATTTAACGAAAAACCCATTAGTAGAAAACTGGTTTTAGGAACAATGAAAAGACATGAAGGGCTGTTTTAAGGTAAAGAAATACTGCATGTTATTCTGCGTTAAAGAATCAGCAACTTTTACCTTCATCTTCCTTTAAAAAGTCAAAATTATTCTAGCAGTGAAAGGTGATTCTTGGTGGCTTATGTGGCATAATAGTTTTTTTTTTTTTTTAAACATCTACAGCCAGGTCAAGGTTCTTACCACTCTATCCCAAGTTTTCTTATTTTCAACCCAGTTTAATAAAGTACTAATTGGCCTTAATGAGGTAATGAGTTTAAACTTTCTTGTTCAAGAAAATGGAATTGGCCTATTTGGATGAGGGGCAGGGAAAAATGGGGGTGGTGGTGGTGGTAGTGAGAGAGAGACACAGACACACTGAGAGGAAATGAGGGCAATATTTTCATGCAAGATAAGAAAAAATGTCACTTTTTTATTAACTTAAACAACCTTTTCCCCCCCTCTCATAAAAGTGTAAGCTGTCAACTGCAATCTGAATCTGAGTTTTTCTAATTAGCACCCCCATCCACTAGTTAATATAAATAGGAAACCATGAGAGCAGAGGCCACTAGCTTAATATATAAAATAGATTAAAGGAAGAGTTTGTATTGAGGTGAACAAAAGTGGAAAATGCTCACTTGACAATAAAGCAGAGCCAATGCCTCTCCTTATTTCTGAAGAGCTTCTTGACAGTAATAACTAACACTTAGCTGATGTATTTTTTTGACCAAATAATACAGTATCATACATTTAGGAAATGTGTTSTTAAATATTTCAAGCATACTCTCTGAATATATAATTTAAAAACAAATACTAACCAAAACACATGGCACATTATTTAAGGAAATAAAGTAAAATTAGGCTTYTAAAATTTTAAAACATGAAGTAGACTTCCTGATGCCTAAAAACTGTGAGTAGTCAATTTAAAAATGGCCAACTTATCAGTATTTATAAGCAAAAGTATATGAAACTCCCTAAGAAACCCAAATAATAAATATTTATATACTGAAATGTTTACTTATCCTTTCTAGTACCAAATCCTAATACAATACTAAAATACAAAGTTGAGCTAAAAGTATATGCCATGAAATTCAAAATTAAAATAAAACTAGAAGGAAATTAGTACCCAATTTCATCAGTTCTTTCAGAAATCACACATTGAATTCCCAGATGAATTTGTCCAGTAAAGATGGTTAGTGATTACTTAATGGTAATCATTTGGCTAAAATGTGGTATCAACAMGGGCACTATGTTATTAAAAGAAAGAACACAAAAAAGTTTTACTTAAACAAGATCAATTTAGCTAGAGATACTTATTTTTTTAAATGCCCTCCCTCAAATCCCACCTGTATTCTCAGGATTGGAAAATTCTAAGAAATCTATGACTTATTTCTGACTTGCTGCTGCCAACAGAATAAGTGAAGGTCATTTGTTATAGATAATCAAGAATGCTTAAATAGACTTAAGCCTTGCTTCATCAGTCCAATTTTACTCTTATGCGGAGCTAAATTTTCTTTTGAGATTTTTAACTTTGGGGAGGAGAAAAGAAACAATAGTTTTCAGGTGAATAAAWGCAACAAAATGAGCCCTTTAGGGCAGAAGCATACCTTTTGTTCAGTAAAGTACCTGACAAACAGAAGGTGGGCAAAATATATATATATATATATATTTTGATGAGTAATCCAGTTATAATACTAACATATCTTTAGGTTATTAATTTTGCCCAAATGGAAACTCCTTGAAGATAATGACCCATTCAATCTATTTACAGTCCTAAGGAATTTAACCTAGATCAGTGTTTTGTAGATAACAGTTTGTGGAAAAACTGAGTTATTAGAAAGATTAATATATGGTCAAATGTATGACCATTATAATTTGGATTATTTGAATTATATAACTGATATATTCTCTAATCCAAATTTCTTAATGTTATGACGTTTGCATAAAAATTAACCTGGAACAATTGCATAGTTCTCTAGAAATAAATTGTTACAATTAAAAATGTTTGAGGATAGTTCTAAAACTGAATAAGAAAAATACCACTTTGATTTAATTTTTAAAAGATAATACTGAGAACTGCTTCTGTTATCTGTAAAAGTATATTCCTAAAGAAGGTGAAAATTAGGGAGATCTTGTTAAAATAATAAGAATTAGATAAGTGAAATATTTTAATGTTAGGTAGTAAGAATCTGGCTATACAAAACTGAATTTCTGGTTAACAGCAGTAAACTGGGTTTATCATAATATGATACCTAAATGAAAGTTTAATCTTAATAAATCTATATATCCTCAGATAAGAACCACCTCCCCCCCCCCCAAAAAAAAAACATAGAATACACCAAAAATTCTGAGGCAATGCCCTGAGATGCTAATTAGTATTAAAAAACAGTGGGGGCTGAGAATTCAAGAGGTACAAAAATGAAGTGCACAGAAGAGGTGCAAAAATGCCTTTTAAATGTGGTTGTTTCTCACCATGACCATTACCCCTAGGAGTCAAGCAGTCTGCTAGCACAATGTAAAGTTCCTTTCTGCATTTTTAAAATGGAAAGTTATATTTTGTACGGCAGTGTTGACTCATATGGAAAAGATTTAGTCTTCTTAAATCAAATTTAAACACAGTCTTCTCACATTTCAGGCCAATTTCAATATTAAAAAYTTTAACAGAGGAGTATCTTAATTTTCTCTTTTGTTTAAAAGACTCTCAAAAAAAAAGTTATAATATGCTATGCTATGCTATGCTATTATGGTTTGAAATATAGCTTCCCATCACRTGTTTTACTTATGGTTCAAGTTTTGCATCTAAAAGATACCACAATCCAGTTAAATATTTTGCAAATTATGAAACTAAAAACTTTTGGTTATTTATTAAAAAGTTAAGGAACTGGTTTGTTGTGATAGGGAGGTTAGCTTTTAGTACTGGCATGTTTGGTAATCAAATCTACACTAGAAGCACTGGTATTCATTAAGTGCAAATTTAAATGCTTGCAAAGTCATAACTTAGAACATTATCATACTTCGCACTTTACCACAGATTTAGACATTAAGCATTTATTGTAAGTTAAGTAAGGAATTGGTTCTGTAATTCCAACTTTTCTGAATTTCTAAATATAAATAGTACTTCAGTTTTTCTTCATTCATGCTGGATTAAGAGATAAATTAAATACAATTAAATTACATTTAATCACCTCACAAATAAGAGGGATATTGAAAAGAGTTTGCTGGTATGTAACTACTTAAATCTGAGACATTTTACATTACTTTTCCTACTAGGTTCCCTAACTTTACATTAGTTTTAAGGCTATATATACAAATATGTATATTTCCAAGTTAGGGAAAACAAACAAAACAAAATGTATTATACTAGCTTTATACACAAAATTCTGATTTTGTATTTAATGCTGTATTTTAATCTTACATTTTAGTAGTTTTCTAGTGGGGAATCTGCTTACTAACTGATTCATTTACATGATAATAAATACAATATTCAACCTAGAAAGACAAAAATACAAAAGGGCACAGAACAGTAGTCTTTTCAATGTGACAGATTGTAAAACTTACTTTCACATGCTTAATCAGAAAAATTTAAGCCTAAATTAAATTAGGTTTATATCTACAATTCCTTAAGCTTTGAAATTTATTTTTAAAGGCCAACAGCTAAATATTATCAACATGCTATATTTCAAATCACAAATACATCTTAACCACTTGGATTCTAAAGACATGGGCCAATTAAAAGTCACAGGCAAACACACACAAACACACACATACCTACCATAGAGAGTTAGATTGTCAAACTTTGACAATTATTTAATTAAACAGTAGGCAAATTCAAGCTGATGTACATCTTAATGAAAAGTAAGCAGCCTGAAAGAAACTTATTTTGAAAAACAAATTAAGGAACAAGAGAGACTTAAATCTTTTAAGGTTTTCTAATGGAAGGAAAACAATTTCATTGGTGACTGAAACAGTATTGTCAAATTAAAAGAGACTAACATCTTTCCCTTTGAGAACATCTCATTTACAATGGTATGGTGTTTTAAAAGGCCGGGGTAAAAGAGGAATTACACATACATGATTAAATTTCTTGTTTGTTAAATCAAGCTTTATTGATAAAATGGAATTCAGAATATCTTACTAGGAACAGCAGCAGGCCCAGCCAATCATGATAGCAAAAATGTGGCAGTCTCCTACTATATGTAGGAAGCTGCTGCTTATCAATTAGTAATTAAATGTAAGGACTTGTAAAAGAGGTGCAAAGAATCAAGGCATTTTAGCCCCAAGATTGATATTCTTATGAATATACTGTATTACCTGCAATACTCATAGCAACAAGGAGAGAACATTCTGAAACACAGTTAAATAAAGAGAGTGGCTTTATCAACAATGCCAATCCCTTGCCAAGAACATTAAGATAGTTTTCCATCACTCCTGGGATATTCAGCTTTGTAAGATTTTGAAATTCTTCTCCATAATCATGTGCATGTTTGAGCACCTAGCTGACATGGCTGCTGCTCTCCCTGTCCCAACCCCAAATCCAAATATAACATGACTTGAAAGGGCTATATATCTGTTGCATCACACAACAAGCCAAACATTTCTTTTATCTTCGATAGTGATTTTAAAGCAGTTCATAATTAAATATGAGCATTTTGTACAAGGACAATTACACTTTACAAAAAAAAAATCATACAACAAAAATTGCTGGAGTCTGATTTACAACATGAATTATGGTTTGAAATCACGTTTACATAAGTCTCAAATTTACAAAAAAAAAAAGAAAAGAAAATCAGTTCTGGGCTAGCTGTTGTACTGCTGAAGTTCTCTGGTGTAATCACTCTCACCCATGTCATATCCCCTTCCTTAAGTTGAGGCTGGATGCTAAAAGGTTCAACAAAGTTGAGTTGCACTCTCCTTTGGAAGTGAAGGTAAACTCCATGGCTAGATGAGCAGTTTTACCACATGTCATCAGTTGATGCTGAGTCCTTTATAAAAGGAAACAAAACAAGGTACTAAATAAAAGCTTAAAGATGCCAAAGTTTTTACTACATCTGGAAGTGCAAGAAAGATAAGGTTTTGTAAAGCTGTCTTTTAGAACATCATATTAAAAGTATGTAAGTGTGTATATGAAATATGAATATTTATTTTGTTCCAAGAATTAATCTTCCATTTTATTTCAGAAAAATATTTGGAATGATTTTACTGTGAGGTTGACCAAATGTGTACTAAATCAATACAACTATAAAAAAGGACTCTTTTCTTTGATAAGATCCAATCTTTTTTTAACACTGCTTTTATAAACTTTTATTACATCATAAGAGATTAAGACTTCAAATAATGAGGTTTTAGCAAGCTTCATAATGTAATACATAAACTATGTCAGAGCTGTGTCCAAATGATTTCAAGTTATCATATTCCTATAAACATCATATTATAACAGAATTGCAAATAAAAACCTAATTGGAGAATATGGCATTCTAATGTTTGTTTATAGAAACAGAATTCTCTAATATTTAAATGAAGAACATACTTCAGAATTTCAGACAAAAGTATTTCCATACATAAAAACTATTTAGTAGAACATTCTGAAGTTCTGTCGTAGCTATAACTCAGATTAGTTCAAGATTCTGAGTAGAAATATTATCCCAATTATAAATTAAAATTTGGTGGAGGCAAACCTTCTGAAGTTGTCTGTAGAGGCTTTGAAAAGAAATCAGRAAAAAAAAAAAATCAAAGGAACTTCTTTTTTGAGAGGTGGCCACTCACCAAGATTATGTCCTCAATCACTAGTACTGTGGTGCAGGCAGAGATCAGAGCAAGCAGAGTTCAGAGCAATCAATCAGGGGTGTGTGTAAGAGAATGGGTGCAGTGAACAGCTCTGCAAAAACAGGTAGGAAGGATATGCATTTAGAGTGGAGGGGAAGGAAAAGCAGAGGGAGCTAATATGCTACTTACAGCRTCATCATTTTTGTAAGGATTCAGTCTATTGTAAACAGCTTCAATTACATTCCGCCTAAATTTGAAAAAAATGCAGAAAATTAATTCTCAGAAAGTACAACAATGCTTAAAAACTCATAGTCAGGTGTTCATTAAAATTTCAATAGTAATCGTACATGTATAAATCACTTAGTTTCATTTCTATTGCCAATAAGCCAGTCTCACTTTAGGATATTTGTGTACCAATGTTAAATTAGAGGTGAATTTACTTAAAAAAAAAAAAAATTGCAGCATCCCACCAACCCACTTAATAGAAGACTGAGAATCATGGCTTAAGGCAATAAAAATCCTCCCCAAATTAACAAAGGCTATATGGTCAACTTCCATTTGAATTAGAGGCCGAGTCACCAATGGCAATGCCAATCTTAAGGCATAAAATATGTTATAAAGTAGAAGTAACTTCAATGTTATGATAAAAATAATTCACATAAACTTTATGTTTAAATTATGCTTTTCTTAATGTCCCTTTAAAAACAAATTCTATTAAAACCCAAAATGTCAAATTTGACATTTCCATGACAAATCTAGGAATTTGCTTTTGAATAATATTTTCATTAAAAAATCTATATTATTCCTTATAAATTACAGTCTCCTTACTTCCAAAACTGGTTTGAAATAATTTTATAGACAATTGTACAAAGTCATATGAAATATGTTTCCAAAAAATAAAAGCTACGAACAGGAACTTTTACAATGATTATTTAGTGAAATGATTGGCTATATCTGCAAAATACAGTGACAAATGAAGGAAATCAGTCAATAGTATATCTTTGTGGGTCAATTATTTGGACAATTGAGGTAAAAATGCTTTAAGCATTTCATTATAAAACTGCTTGAATTCTCCAATTTAAGTACAGAAGTAAGCTTAATATTTACCACAGATCAGTCCACTCTATGAATTAAAGTGGAAAAAGGCAAAAAATGCATCCTCTCATGTTCCCTGATAGTCAAACCAACAAACAAGCAATAAATAACTAAAAACAACTGGGAAGATGAAAGATACATGATTCAAATGGTGGAAGAGAAATCTTTGGGGTGTTAAGTTTGTCTAGAGATTGACAAAATAAAATTACATTACTACTACTAATAACAGATTTTAGTAGTGCCATGTAATTGAGTCACAAAAATTTTTCACCTGTATTATCTATTATCTATGAGAAAAATCAATGTCACRTATCTTCCACTAAAGACAATCTTCAGCATAATAAATTACAAATAATAGTATTCTGGTGTCTATTTCTAAACAAGCACCAAATATCCTTATACTAAAATACGGACTCCACAGGTTAAATATTTTGAAAACATAGGTAAATACATTACTTTAAAAATTAGCAAATACACACTTGATCAAAGAACACATAACATTTTCATATACTAACAGAAAGCCTAACACTGTGAAGAATGTAACTTACTTGCTTGCCAATTCACCTCCTGGTGGGAGGCTGGGGATGTTCTCACTTGCTAATGTGCGCATCACATGGACTAAGTCGGGGACGCCTTCTCCCTGCTTCTTTATGATTTCTGGGAATCAGAAGTACTTTTTTTGTAAGTGTTATCCAAATTTAATAAAAAAGACTGAAACAAAAATAACTTAAGATTCTAAAGATGGCATTTACCATATCTGAGATATTCTAAACTGGTATAGCATTAAAAAAAAAAAAAAAAATCAAACTGACTTTGAAAGTTATGACAAAGGGATGCACAACAAGATAAAAGTGACTTAACTTCAAAGAATGTAAACAATCAGATAAAAACGTAAAAAGAAAAAATATTTCATGTTAAATTAATGTGTTACAKAATCAGGGACATGTGTGTACAAATGAAGATATCCTTTCTTAGGATGCCAACTAGTTACTTCTGAGGAGATCAACTCCTCTCTTTAGACTGGATACATATTTTCCTGAACTTAGTCCTGTAAAATACATTACATGAATTTAAAAATAAATAAACAAAAATTCAAGAATTCAAGATTTGAAAAAAATAATCTTTAAGTATGGGAAATTTATTGATCACATACTAATCCAAATCATTTGTACATCATATGTTTATATTTGCAAAATGATACTGAAGTAGCATGCACATTAGGTTATATACTTGAACATCACTCTCAGCTCAATTTTTCTTTAAAATATCTTTGACCAATGTATAGATACATAATACCATTTCCTTCATTGATTACTTGAATGGAAAAGGTCTAAATTTCATGACAAAATTTTTTTTTAAAAAGAAAGATATAATAAATGGCACTACTGAATGTAAAATAATTTCAAAACATCATTCAATGGGTATAGCAGTGTTATGCAGATGCATTGTTTTTTTAACCACAGATTATCAAAAACTATGAACAAAGAAGAACCTTACAAAGAACTCTAAAACTAAGTATAGAAGTATTCACTTGGAGTTTTAGTACACTTATTTAGTCTACATGCAAAGTGAAGCCAAAGCTTTTTGTAGGTTATATGTTAAAGTTTTGTTCAGTTTTTGTTTTTACAATGTTTATAGCAAAACAATATTTTCTTTGTCTTTACTGGGCAAGAAATTATCATTTTAATTCTTCATTTGTAAATACCTTAGAAAATAACAATGCATATAAATATCTTTCATCCTTTGATCAAGCCTCAAAATATTAATTCATCATAAAGGCACATATTAAAAGACAGACATTGCTACCCATAAAATTTCTTTAAATGGTTCAAATTTTCCTTTTAGAATAAAGATAAAAATTTACCATCTATTATTTTTGCCTTTTATTTTTTTTAAACCAGTCTTAAGTCTGAACAAAAAGCAAGGATCTCAGATTTGGTTTGCCAAGTTCCTTTATTGTGTAATCTTTAACATCTAATATTATTTATGCTACATGATTCTATTGCTGGAAATCTGCTATACAAAAATAAAGGGATTTGATGTTTACCTAAGCTACACAATTTCACAATCTAAAACTATAATACACTTAACATACAGTCTCTACTAAGCCAATACAATTATGTAGATAGATAACTAGATACAAAGAAATGAACACTGATGATAAATTCAACCAATGATGGTTTCAGGTCTTAAAAACATTACTTTGAATCGTCTATATTTGATGTATCTTATATTTTTGTTAAAATGTAAGTTAGGAAGTTTTAACTATGAAGAAAAATTACAGGAAAACAAATTCTTCTTTTTTTTAAAAAAAAAATAATGAAAGGCTTTAAAAACAGTTAATATCTCCTATTCCTGCATGGGATAATCCATTGAAACTACCTGAACATTAATACTACACTAACCTTGTTTCTTTCTGTTTTTTAAAAAAGAAAAAGAAATTAATTTTAAGAAATATTCCTTTAATTGTTCTTGGACTATACATTTTAATTAGAACTGTAAAAAAAAACTGAGTGCTTTTTATAGAGAATATATATGTATAGAATTATCCATGTTTCATATACATATGTACAAACACATTCTTCTTTCCACCCCCTTCCATCAAGTTTGAAGGATTCTATTAGTTATATTCAAATTAGCAATTTTAAAACTCAGATAGTCAGTAGCAAAGTTTTTTAAAATATAGATACATTAAGTATAATTTTAAATTGGCTTAGAAGGACCACAAATTTAATAGTAGTTTAATTAAATAGTGTGCTGAATCCTTTCACACCCCCATTCAAGTATTTAGAAGGACATAAATAATAGAAGAAAGAAGAATCTAAAAAGCTTTGTCCTTTACTATGTTGTGGACATAAATGCCAAAAATGTTGAAAGCAAATAAAATCAGATTTAGTAGGGCACAATGATTTAGTCAAGGCATATATTTAAAGAAAGAGAGGGGGGAAAAAAAGGTATGTTGTGCCTATTTTGAAAACTGAATGTAGTATTTCTTCACTTAAGACACACAACATCTTTCACAATGCAAACAGTTACATTCTATGTCTTTAAATAGCAGCAGTTTTTAAATTAATGTAATATTTATTCTCTAGCTGCAGTCTCAGCAAATCTACCTAAGAATATCATATTTATGACACATAATCTCCAATTAAATAGTACAAGTTTTAACACTTCAACATGTCAAAATATTGAGTATTAATGTAAACTGTCCAGTTGGCAACTCTTGCTCGATAATAGGTAATAAAAAACTTAATATTCTAACAAAATTATATCAAGGGAATACTTCATAATTAATCAAAAATTTACTTTAGAGAGCACATTCTGAAAAGCAGCATTTCTAAGATTTGATCTCTTTCATGGTAAAAATAGTAAAGTACTTATTTCTTTAAATTAATAAAAAGCCTGTATTCCCAATTTACTTTAAAGTGCCAAAACATTAAAAACCAACTTATCCCTATACATACTATAGTTTCATATTTTCCCACTAATCAGCAGTTTAAGCYRATGACTTCATAGCATTCTAAATACTTATTTTACTGTGTTATCCATAAATAACTTATATAAAATTATTAATTTAAAACATAAAAATTCCAAAACTCTTGGTAATAGTGAGGAAAAAATGCACTGAATAGTTTGTCCAATGAATGAAATACTAAATAGTACAAACACAGACATTATCACTATCAAGTAGAGGAAGGCAATAAAAACAAAATAGTAGTTCTAGACAGTACTAAAAATCAAAATTAAGAATATCATGTATCATGACTCTAATATCAGCCTGATTATGACTGATATCAAACAAAAAAGTAAACAAATTAAGGAGCATACTTATTTGAATAATATAGGCACTGTGGGATATAACAGTGTGGTAGGTCAATGTTTGCATGCCATTAGAAGTCTTTAACATGCAAATTAGTGACATCAGGAGCCCAAAATGCACTTTTTACAATAAATCATATCAAGCTTTTCTGCTTATAGAAACTGCATTATCTATATGCTTATTATATGTATGCAGTAAATTAAATTCTCTGAGGAGACAATGTTTACACTAAGTAGTAGCTGCATCCAAGATTAAATTTAAAAAAAAAAAATTTTTTTGGTAGTTGTAGATGGACAGAATGCCTTTATTTTATTTTTATGTGGTGCTAAGGATCGAACCCAGTGCCTCACACATGCTAGGCAAACGCTCTGCCACTAAGCTACAACCTCAGTCCCCGCAAGATTAAATTTTTCAAATATTTAAAGACATTGTACTTGAGAGGTACAAATACTTTTCTATTTGTTTCAAGATAATCTGCAGAATTATAAAAAATATATTCCTAGAATTCCTAACTTATTCTGTATTTTATTCAGTAGTTACATTTCTGCTAGGTAGAGAAATATGTCTTCTATTCTAGTGTACCTTATTTAGGTGAGACAGTTTATGGCTTAGACAAGAAGCCATGACACAGATGAAAACAAAAATTTAAAAGCTCTGGCATATGAACACTGTTAATAACCAGGTTGTGACCTTCAAGTTATAAAACAAAACAAAAACAAAAAAACTTCTAGAGATTTTAAATTAGCATACACAACTATTCACAGAAAGATGTATATAACAAACCACAAATCAGAATTTCCTGGCATTAAATTACTATGCCAGTGAAATTTTTCAAGAATTTTAGAGCCCATAACATTTTTTAGCCTTTTGAAACAAAAGTATCCTGAACAGAATGTATAGACTAGTTGCTATTTCTAACATGTGAAGGACAACTGCATACATACTTCTAAAATCTACTACAGAATGCCCTTTCTCATTTTTGCACACTAAAAACTAAATGTTAAAGGCATATAAAGTTCTAAAAGCTAAAATGTTAAAGTTTGTGTTGAAGGTTTTTCTTTAATAAAGCTACTTATTTTTTGTTAAATGATCCACCTTCTACTCTGCATTCCAGGTACTTGTCCAACTCTGCCTCCTTCTTCACTGCTTCTGGTGATACTTTGGGTGCATTTGGAAAACAGATCAAAATCACACTCATGTTGTCTCGACTTCCCTAGGAAGAAAAATTTGAGAAATATTTTGATTTCCTTTTTCCTTTCAAAGCCTTGAGAATCTTTACAGCTATGCCAATTACAGTTACACTTATTCTAGTGAAAATGTTATTTTTAAGAAAAAAAATTTATATATTGGGGAAGGCAGTTGCCCTCATATAGCACATTAAATGTACAGTATAATCAACCCGCCAAAAAACAGAAAAGAAATATCCTACATAATAATCATTTCTAAAAATTCTACAAAGCAAAATTACTTCTAAATATTTACTAGTGACTTAGTTAACTTGAAGTGATACCTACACGTACATTCAGAAACATCCACATTTACTCCATACATCATGGCAGAAAATGCTAGTGGTATTCTTTACAATTAGGATTTGGCCTATACTTAATATGTATATTTGACAAATTTACATGTAAAATAATTACAAGTTTTGGGGCTAACATATTTGCTTCCTAAGTAGAAATATGGAATTAGAAGTAAAACTACATATATAAAGTTTATACAGCAGTTTTCAACCCTACTTAAAAAACTGACAGGGGCTGGGGTTGTGGCTCAGTGGTAGAGCTCTTGCCTAGTATGTGTGAGGCACAGGGTTCGATTCTCAGCACCACATATAAATAAATAAAGATCCATTGAAAACTAAAATATATTTTTTAAAAAACTGACAATTTAGGAAGTACATTTATTTTTAAAGGCATCTAAGTATTCAAACTGCTGTAATTAAAACACTTGATGTTGCCTTCCCTACACCCTCCTTCCTATTAGTTCTTGGAATTAAAAGTATTTAATTCAGCTAGATGGAAAAATGGACCTTATAGCATTAAACCACAAACAATACAAACAAGCTAATATTAGAAAGACAATCTTAGAGGAAAACTACAAATAATTCAACCAGGGATTGAATTCAGGGGCACTCAACCACTGAGCTACATCCCCAGCCCTATTTTGTATTTTATTTATAGACAGGGTCAAACTAAGTTGCTTAGTGCCTCGCTAAGTTGCTGAGGCTGGCTTTGAACTTGGAATCCTCCTGCCTCACCCTCCTGACCTGTTGGGATTACAGGCATACGCCACCATGCTGTGGCTCAAATAATTTTTTAAAGTAGAGAAGAATATAAAAGAAATAAAGTAGAATCTGAGTCATAATTACTAATTATCTAACAATTCTCAAAAAGTTTTAAATTTAGCTAATAAGCACTTAATTTTCAAAGAGAATGCTACTTTCATGAACACTAAGTGACAATACATGCACCTTAAATCATTGTTCAGTCYCACAATTGAGAAAGTGACAGCATGTACTATGAAGTTTATACTCTATTGCCTTTTGTGTTGGATATTATATAAACCTGATTTCTAAGTGCAATCAGATTTTAGGATTTTAAGTTGAGTGTCATGACTGTGTGCATATAAAGCTACAAAGAATTTTTTGTTGACTTTTTATTTCTGCATGTTAAAAGAAAATCAAACATATACCCTCAGAGAGTTTTATAAAAATCAATATTTGTTTCAAAAAATATATCAAAGAATGAATTAATGATCATTACCAACAAAATAGAAAAAAAGTGTGGTACAAAGAACACTTAACCTAAGTCAAGGACCTAGATTTCTAGTTTTAATACTGTTACTAAATTATATAATCCTGTAGAGGTCGGTTATAACTTCTCTAGGAAAGGAATCAACATTAACTGGGTATATATTATATGCTAGACTAGGTAATTATGTGTGTATGTGTGTTTATTACAGTTCCCAATGGTCCTATGAATTAGATACTATTATCTATATTTTATAGCTGAGAGAGGTTGAACAATGTGTTTAAGACTGAAGAGTACAAAAATAATGCAGGTAAGCCCTGATTCCAGAAGTTCTGTTTGACTTTCAGTCTGCAGAACTTTCTCTGGTTTAAGCTTCCTCAACTTTAAAATAAAGGGATTAAGCTAGCTTGTCTACGCATATCACATTCAATCCTCCCAACAACCCACGAAACAGGGTAATAGCTGTCTTTACAATTAAAAAAAAAACAAAAAACTGATTTTCCAGAGAGTTTAAATAGCTTACCTGAAGACATACATGATCCTATAAGTTTTTCTGACTTTATGTGCAAGGCCATATCTATTACCACACCAAATAACCACTTAAGTCCTTGTTGATGATTCAGATTCATTAAACAATAGATGCAAAGTACTTCCATAAATGTACTGAGGTATCACATGGTAAAAATACTAAATATTCTAAAAAGCTTTTCATTTATAGATACTGAGGCCTAACCTTCCCACTCATGCTCTTTTAAAACACATAATTCAAAATAATCTTTCTACTTTTGATAATCATTTACATTTTTAAAAAGCTTAAGTAATYATGGTTAAAGACTAAATATTTAGATTATAACTCTTGCATATATGGTAATTGGTTAATCTATTTCTAAATAAAAATAGATTATTTCTTTTTATTTAGAAATAGATTAACCAATTACCTATGTTGTCACTCCTATATTTTCATAATTGGTAGATTACCTTGCAATTGTGCCACACACTTATTTTTAAGAACTACAGGCTCTAAGATGATTAAATGAGAGTAGTAATTAATATGACATAAAATCATTTCATGTTTTAAAAAATAAAGTCAAGCTACCTTATACAAACAGGTGTCGACTACTTCATTGCAAACTTTCTCAAGATCATCAGTGACTTCAAGTCTGGATCTTACAAAATCACAGAGCTCTTCATTTCCCATAACATCCCAGATACCATCACATGCAAGAATAATGAACTGATCATCTTCTTCAGATCTTTCAATATCATGAACTTCAGGCTCTGGTGAGACAAGCTGCTCTGTAGGACCTTTTCCATGGACACATTTGTAATCAAAATCCCCAAGGGCCCTTGATACAGCCAGAGAACCATTCACACGCTGAATCATTACAGAGCCACCTGCATTCTGAATTCGTTCTTTTTCCAGCGGATTACTTGGTTTATGATCTTGTGTGAAGAAGTGAACTTTCCTGTTCCTACAAAGTAAACCTCTTGAGTCTCCACAGTTAATGAAATAAGTATGTTGGGGAGAAATTAAGACACCCACAGCTGTTGACCCACTTCTATCTGCACCATGTTTCTTCTCTGACATAACTCTCATGTGTTCATCAATTTCCAGAAAACCTGTTCTGATTCCATTCTTTACATTTTCCACAGAAGGTGCTCCTGCAGACCCTTTAAAATCCTGGTTATTGGTGATGTGATCTAACAAATGCTCACAGCAGTATTTGGCAACCTGAGAACCAGCATGCCCATCATACACAGCAAAGAATGACCATGTTTCAAGTCCACTTGGCAAACCGATCACAGCCGTATGTGCATCCTCCATTTCAACTCGCCAACCTTGCATGCTGCTTAGCCCATATCGCAACCCATTACCCTGCCCCTGGGCATTATGCTTTTCCATCTTTGGCTTGTCTAAAAATGCTCCCATTATGTCTTGATCCTCTAGGTCTGCAAAGGAAGAGAAACAGGAAAGTCAGTAACTGCCTTATAAGTAAAACACATGTCCAACATTTTTTTTTTTTTAAGGGTGAAGCAGGGAGGGAAAAAAAGTGTAAAAGAGAAAGAAAGCTTTAAGAATTTACAACTCTTGTTGTAAATGCCTGGTGTAGTGGAAAGCTGACTCTAAGGGACAACCACTTGAGGTAGAAAGGAGACCTTTCAGTTTATATGAATCAGGTCCAGCATTTATAAGGACACATTGAACATTTGCAATCTTAACTAAGTTGTATGTAGGTCAATTAAGGAAAACTAAATGAATTTATAGTGCATACAAAGGTCTACTAACTCAAACATCTTAATTGAACATTCAGGAATTTCCAAAGATTAATTCCAAACTATCTAGTTTTATTCCCATTATTTATAAGCCCTCTGAAAAAGCAAAAAATGATCTACTCACAGTGCTTCAAAATTTTCATGTTCCTTGCATCAACCCTTTGCACATGCCACACCCTTTAACAAGAATCTCTTACCTCTCTACTTACAGAAAAAAAACACCATACCCATTCTTTAGAATTTAGTTCAAATTCTACCTCTTTTGTGATATTTTTCAATTTTTCAGAAAGCCAATGAATTATTACTATAAATGGTCCAGCCTCAATTTTCAAGTTGCAAGCAATCATGCGTACAAACGACAAAGCTTATTATATATAGCAAAATTAGATTAATTTCATTCTATTATTCTCATGGTAATATGTATCATTATTATGTTCTATGACCATTAGGTATAAGTTACAAAGGAGATCAAAGGGTCCAGTGACAACCTTGCTGAGAAGCTTAAAAACTTGGCTAAACCTTTCCCAATATTCATGAATTAACCCCCTGGTATGGAATAGGCCTACACAAGAGAGACAGTTAGTCAGAAATTTAGGTTGACCTACTTCAGTAATAGCTTAGAAATGTAGAAATTTGGGGTACAAGTGATCAAATGAGCCACAATTAAACTAAAGGCAATCTGAAAGGAGGAYAGAATAATGAAGAGAGAATGAAGATAAAGAAGAAACAGGAGAAAAATACCTAAAAGTCAATCAGTATGTGGCTCTGTGACTAGGGGATGGATGGTGATAGTAATGCTAAACTCAGAGAAAGAAGAAAATCCTTCCAGGAAGGAAATAAAAACATTTAGTTTTCCAGCTACCTTTCCCCCTTCCTTTTTCCTCCCAGGGCCAAAATTATACACAGTTTACCTACTCCTTTGCCTCCTATTAAGACTCCACTAATGGAAGGTAAATAATGAAAACTAGCTATTATCATGTATCCTTTATGAGTGGTATTTATGAGATTAATTTTCTGACCAAGGTAATATACATTAATGCAAGGGTGAATATTTTGATTGTAGAAAGGATAATTTAAGAATGCYACCTTATTAGTAGACAATGTTTAATAAGAATTCTAAATCACTGTGGTGTTTATAAACATTACCTTATTTAATCTCAACAACTTTCTAAGGCAAGTACTTATGTTAACTCCAACTTATAGATGATATCAGTCAACTAAAAAATAAGTATAATGGAATAAGAACTCTCATTCAAATCTGTCTGACTATAAGGTAACATTACTAARTCAATAGGTCTCAACTCATGGTTGTGCAATAGTGTTATCTGTGGACCTTTTGAGAAATAAGAAATTTCCAAGTCAGAATACCAAACTTGTAACCTAGGTATCTGTATATTTGCAAAATTTCACATGTGACTCTGAGGCACAGCAAGATTGCAGATCACTGGGGGGAAAAAAATCAGATATAAGGCCTAAGGTATAGAAGATAAGGGAAAAGAGACAAAGGTCAAAGAGAAAATCAGTCACYCTACATTACAAGACACTATTACAGGTTAGAAATGACAATGAGAAGTTTGACAGAAGACTCTATCATCTTAAGAAGGGGAAAAAAAAAAAAAAGATACGCGTGAAATGCATTGATTTAAACATGTTTAACAGACAAATCAATGAGAAAGAGCAGAAACAACAAATATTCGTCTCCAAATTTCGAAACAGCATAAAGTACTAAAGAAAACAAGTTATGAAAAATGGGTTTAAGTTTTGGCTCCACTATAATATATGTTATGAAGAAATACGTGTATGTGGGCTGGGGATGTGGCTCAAGCGGTAGTGCGCTCGCCTGGCATGCGTGCGGCCCAGGTTCGATTCTCAGCACCACATACAAACAAAGATGTTGTGTCCGCCGATAACTAAAAAATAAATATTAAAATTCTCTCTCTCTCTCTCTCTTAAAAAAAAAAAAAGAAATACGTGTATGTATTTTACCTATCTATCTATCTATCTATCTATCATAACTGGGAATTGAACCCAGGACCTCTCAAGTGCTCTACCACTGAGCTACATTCCCAAGCCCTTTTTAAAAGTTTTTGAGGCAGGTTCTCCCTAAATTGCCCAGGCTAGCCTCGAACTGTCGACTTTCTGCTTTAGCCTCAGGAGTACTTGGGGCATGTAGTTACAGGCATGTGCCACTGCATCTGGCTTGGCTCTACTACTTCATAACAGTATAACCATAATAATTATATGACAATTTAACTTTTCTGAAACTCTTTCTCCATTTGTGTAATAAGAAGGTACTAATCTTACAGGGTTATTATGAGGATTAAAAATGAAATATTATATATACTTCCTACAGTGTCTAGCATATTATAAACACTAATATAGATGCTATTGCTATTTAATTATTATRCTGTTTTTTTCCCCCCTGCCAGGGAAGGAATCAAGTCATAATAACCTTTATTCCTGGACACCAACTTGGATTACCCTTAAATCAAAAACTTCTGAATGATAAACCTTTTGTCTTTTTATTTATTTGTTTGTTTATTTATTTTGCAGTGCTGGAGATCAAGCCCAAGGAGGGCATTATGCATGCTAGGCAAGAGCTCTACCATGGAACTATATCTCTAGCCCCTGAATGATATCGGATATACTTTAAAATAGACTTTAAATACTTCATTAGCAAATAGAGGAAAGCAAATTTAATACAAGATGCCATTCATGATCCATTTGGCAACATCAAAAGTTGGTAAGAGAGGCTGAGTTGTGGCTCAGTGGTAGAACACTTACCTCACACGTGTGAGGCACTGGGTTTGATCCTCAGCACCACATAAAAATAAATAAAATAAAGGTTTTGTGTTCATCTACAACTAAAAAAATACATACTTAAAAAAAAAGTTAAGAATGTTTGGAAACAGGAACTTCCCTATACTAATGGTAGAAAATAGTGAAGTTGAAGATGCACAYAAGCAACAACTCAACAATTCCACTTCTAATTATATGTATCAACACCAATTTAGTGGTTTGCGTGACCTACATTTTAAAAAGATGGAATAGAGTGTATCCTGGATGACAAAGGTAAGTAAATACTATTCTTAAAGTTTCGGTTCCAGAATTACATTCTGTTTACCAAGCTGAGGTCTATATACTTCTTATTGTGGGTACAGTCAAAAAGTTTAAAATATACTGCTTTAACGAAATCYTCCCATCTGCCTAAGGTGATGTATACAATGATTTTTTTTAGAGAACTATAATAGTAAATGTTCATTAGAAGGTAGAACAAATAAAGAAGGGAATATTATTAGCAAAACAAATCGAGTTTTGCTAAATTTTCTAAATTTGAGATATTTCTCAAAAATAACAAAAGGAAATACACTGAATTATTCAGCAAAACAATTTTAAATAAATACATTTAAGCAAATATACATATTTGGTTAAAGTGTGAAAAGTGGTTGCAAGCTTCATGACGGCAGGGTCTGTGTGGTTTATTGTGTGCCCCCAGCACTTAGAATGGAGCCTAACAAACAGCAGAAGCTCATTTTTTTGAATTACTAGCTTTTCTCTAGGGAAAAAAAAGAGAGAATAGCTTCAGGAAAAGGTCCCAAAGGGGGGTTCAACTGTGTATGTAACTGGTGTTTCCTGGGCTTTTTAATGACATCCTTTAGTAACACAATCTCTGCTTCACATTTTAGTCTTTGCTTCATCTAAGGTAAATTGAATTCCTCCAAAAGTTACTTTTACTAAGAAGTCAAAAGTAATCAAGGAGCAATCAAGGAACAAGAGGAAAAAAAAAAAAAGTAATAGTAGTAAAAAGCACTCAGGATTCCCTTAAACTTATTCGCCTCTAGGTGAGGTAAGATTGGGAGCTTGGATTTCTCCCTCATTCTTACTATATCCTGCATCACCACTGAACTACTAAAGATAATGATACTAGCTTAGTAATAACATCTAACATGGGGGAAATACTACTATTTAAACACTAAAGTTTAAGTTTTATGTATGTACTAACTTTAATCTTCATACAATCCAAAAGAAACTAAGCTACAGTTCTGTTAAGTCATCTACTAAAGGTCACGGCAAGTTGTTTCTGAGGGATATGAACATCAGGCCCCAGGTACGGAACTTCCCTTACTGTTTCTCTGCCAGCCCTCCTGCCTCACCCTAAATTAATCCTGCCACCAAAACTCCTCCCATGACCTGGCTCTGCTAAAACTCTATAAAACCCAGGGCCCTCAGGTGGCCTACCACCATTACCCCTGCCACACCAGATATGCCCCTCGGGTGCTGAATAAAGCATCATGATCATGAGGTCTGCCTTCATATTCTTTTTTTCTTTGTATTCTCTTTCATGTGCTTTCAGTTTCATTTGTCTCAATTCCCTTAGCTGGGCTTAGGGTGGGAGGGTGGTATTAAGACACTTGATGCCTACTAACCTAGCATCTCTCAAACTTTCTCAACTATACAATGGGTTATTAATACTTAACTCTGGGTGTTGCTGCAAGGTTTAAGTCAGGCAATGGCTGCAAATTAGCCAGAGGGCCTGGCAGAAATGAGGCACTCAGCAAATAGAAACCATTTAATTATTACACAGCTACATCTGGATTCTGATAGAGACCCTACTCTCCATTTTATAAACAAGTCCAGTAGGTATTTTCCAGGCATTCCTAAAAATATACCAAGAT